TTCAACAGCATTGTACTGTTGTTTGAGCCAAGTAGCAATAAGTCAGAAGTACGTCATCATGACCCTGGCAATGATTATCGGAGGCAATAAACGACAGCTGCGTAATACCGTCATTTCACTGAATTTATGAATATAAATCACAATATCTCAAACCACTGATCTTAAGATCTACTCCTGTTGAAGTCATAGTTATTCATTCGTTAACAATTCCACATCACTACCAAATATCTCTTCAATACTTCATACGTTTCGATGTTTAGGCAATCGAAAGCCAGTTCATGATGTGAGCTAAAAATAAACTTTATTCACGTATACAACTTAATTAAGATATTCAACTGTTTCAGAACACAATTCTGTCTTTGAACCATTCACTACTTCCATTTCTTGTTAATATCCACTTGGAAATTCATTTCTCATTACCAAATCGTCTATCCATTTACAGTCATTTCTAAAGACTGAATAAACCGTTTCATGAGTAAACTTATTTCATAACTTACTACCTAATTAAACACGTGTAACAATTTGAATTGTGCTGATATACATAAGAATCAACATAGACACTGTTTAATGAGTTTTAATGCAATTGTCTTATTGGCGAACAATGAAACTATTTTTTCTCTACTTCTGTGATATTGAACAATGATTTCCTCCTTCAAATATTCATTAGCTCCAACTCACAGTGGATCACAGATTGTTCATTTCAATATTTTATGTTTAATGTACATTATTCAATCAATTGTCTCATTATTATTATTCGTTTTGTATTGTTCGTTTGAGTCTTGCCATCGATGTTTGAAACTGCAAGTGATCAGTTTCTTATTGAGAAGATTAAGACAGACAATAGAAAAGCGAGTGTAAACTTCACCTGATTGTACAAGCAAGTGACTATCAGAAGTTATTAGCTAAGCGTTTGACGCAAGTCCCAGAGTGAACACTAAATCTGAGATGTAGGTACATCCAGATGACGAGTTCCAAATAGGATAAGACGTGCGTCAAATTGGATCCCACTGCTAGCATCTATCCATCTTTGCCTATAAAGATCGAGACTTTTTGGATAACCTAACTTAGTCAACAACAGTAGAACGATGTTGAGTGACAGATTGTTCGAAACTACGAAATATGGGAATAACTTTAATCAGTGGTCATCTATTGGCTAGTGAAAAGTCTGTTAACATTACCATAGTCCATACATGACGGCTCATCATCCACTTGAAAAATCTGATGGATGTATTGAGTACATGATTAAATAGGTAAAACCACATAGATAGTGAACATCCAAATTTATGAATGAGTTATTATTATTGTTTTTAAAGTGATTGTTTATCAAATCACTTTAATCGTATTCTATGTAAAAAAACAGTAGATAGATAATGACATGCCCCTTTAGACCGATTATGAAAACAGTTGCACACTTTCCAACGGGATGATGTATTGCGTTTGATCGATTTTCTTGAATTCGCGTAATAATGCAAAGGCCTTTAAATAGTTTGCATTTAAGAATAAGATTTGATAAACTGAGAATTCTGTCCGATACACAGATAACATCAACGTCTATCATTTCTGTTACTTACTATACAATTTTCAAAGTAAAATTTATGATTTCTTATTCTCAGTGTAAATTATTTGAGCGTCTAGTTAATGAGCATATTTCTGTTGGACTCAAGTGTCTACACAAACATCATTGATTATACTTTGTGATTGTCTATCACTTCAATTCATCTTTTTATTCAAACAATATGGTATTCTCTTTACTGTATACTGTATAGTGGGCGTAATATGAATCTTAATTAGAGTAGAACTAATCGCATTCCAATGATGCGCTTACGTGACTGACCTTCACCTACATACATTCATGGAACTAAAATGAGTGAATTTCTCATTTTACAAAACATTGATACTTTTCTAAATATAAAATGAAGTGAAAACAGATCATTTGGCTGTCAATTCATAGAAAATCTTGGTACAAATATGAATGAACACTGTGACCATTTGCCATCTAATTTTTAGTCAGTTTAGTCGTCGTTTACTCATAGAATCATTTGGTTTTCACGTTCTTTAAAATTAACAGAATGAAATATTAAAAGTATTGACTGAAATCGAAGTAGTGAATAACGGCCGATCTTCGCCTTTACGTCTGCATCTGAACTACCCTGTTCATCGATGATGCTTCCCAGGTACATGGAATATTCTACACCTTAGAGAGATTTTTCACGAAGTATTTTTGAGCGGTTGTCCTCCGTGTTGCATTTGACGACGTTGGATTTTTCTTTGTGTATGTTCAGGTCTAGTGATGCAGAGACTGCTGCTACACTGGGTGTCTTTGTCTGCATCTGTTTGTGTGTATGCGATAGGAGGGCTAAGTCATCTGCGAAATCCAAATCGTCTAATTGATTCTGGGCTGTCCATTGTATTCCGTGTTTTCCCTCAGATGTGGAGGTCTTCATAATCTAGTCGACCGCCTGAAGAAAGAGGAAGGGAGAGAGTAGACAGTCTTTTCTGACTCCGGTTCTTACTTGGAATGCATCTGTCAGCTGTCCTCCATGTACCAATTTGCACTGTAGTTAGTCTGGCGAGTTCCGGATAATGTTGATAATCTTCCCAGGAACTCAGGAGTGTCGAAGAAGTTTCTATAACATCCTCCAATCCACACTGTCAAATGTCTTTTCATAATCAATGAAGTTGATGTATAGTGATGAGTTCCACTCAACTGATCGTTCGACGATGATCCGTAGTGTCTCAATTTGGTCTGTGCACGATCGATCCTTACGGAATCGAGCTCTTTGATCTCGAAGTTGGGCGTATACTGCGTATTTCGTTCGGTTCAGCAACACTCTGTTAAAGACTTTCATGGCACTGACAGTAGTGTGATGCATATGTAGTCCTCATATTTGCTCAGATCTAATTTCTTTGGTATCTTGATGATTTATCTTTCTTTTCAGTCCGTCTGTATTTCGTTCTCCTCCAAATTCTTCTTCAATAGAAAGCGGGGCACATTCGCAGTTACTTCAGTGTATGACTTCAATTATTCAGCTGGTATATTGTCAGGTCCTGCTGCTTTTCCGCTCTTGATTTGTCTGATAGCCATTCCGGTTTCTTCGATCGTTCGTGGAGTGACATCTATAGGTAGGTCTGAGTGTGCTTCTCTGATGTCCGGTGGATTCAATAGAGCTGGTCTATTCAACAGTTCCTCAAAGTACTCTACCTATCTATTCCTCGATTCCTGAATCTTGATGATTGTTTTTCCTTCTTTGTCCGGTCTCTATGGGTTAGAATATTTTCCTGCTAGTTTCTTCGTTGTATTGAATAGTTGTTTCATGTTTCCATCTCTCGCACCACGAAAGTTTTAATCAAAGTATCAGAATCTTCTTTGAAAGCTAGTGAGGCCAAGTTAGGTTAGTGCTCATCTAAATACAAAGTTCGAATAAAATGATTGACGGTATACTGCCTGTGTCAACAATGGGATTGCGGAATGAACAAAAATACATATTTAATTGCTCTCTCATGTGGCAAGCGCATTCAAAATCGTGGATAAAAGCAAAATGTGATCATGAAAGGCTCCAATCATATTGGAATTCTTTAACGGGGTCTGGTATCATAAATAAGTCTAAAATACCGACATAATGTATACAATTTTTTCAATATTTAGGCGTTCAGGATCACAACGAATATATGAGTTCTGAGAATGCAGCTTTCTACAGGATAAACATTTATTAATCCCTGTCCACCTATTTATGGCGTATTGGAGCTGTGTGTAAAAGGTAGTGAATATCCATGTTGATAGCTAAGGGGATGACGTGACGATTTTCGAAGTAAACAATACTGAGTCCGAGTACCACAGTGACACATCAACTCTGTGATGCAGATGCAGTCAGCTGACGAGTCTCAAATGGGACGAAGAGACGCGCGTTCTAGATTCCTTTCGTGTTCACCGTCCAACTCCGCTTATTTTATTCGCGACCTAATGTCAATATCGAGGTAGCTCGCACACGATGCACGCATAATTTGGAAAGACTGGTCAGTTTGCTTAAACAACAGGTATTTTAATGTCAAATACTGCCTTCTTATCCCTTCACAACAATTGACATATGCAGCCATGACATTATTAATTAGAGCATCGTCATCTTCATTGAAAGCTAGTGAGGAAAAATGCAGTTAGTGTCTTTCCAAAGATAGTTTTAAGTCCTAAGCATTAAAGAGAATATTATAACCACCATCGCAATCTTTGAAGAATCCTTCTTCATATTTACGACTATTAATCGATCAGTAACACTGCAGTGTGCTTGTTTTTAAAATCTGTCATCTTATTAAGCAATGTTACGACAGGACTCTTACTAATTTATTGAACCTATATTATTCCTAATTATTACTTGAGTATCAGCTTAACCCTATGGAAAAATTTCATAATCAGCATTCATAACACTTATTACCAATAGTCTGTCATCAGGCTTTTACTAAACAGTGAATAATCGAATAACGGAGGAATGAGGTGCCTCGTTAAATGTCAATGCGGTATTCCGACATTTCAGTTTCAAACAACGAACATCGACAATTTCAAATGATATTTTTTAGTGGTGAGACTTCATCAAACTGGACATTCACAACGGATTCATCGTTGATTGCAGTTGTCACATAATCAAGTATACACGATACTCTTAATTCACAAGTGGAATGCTGTAAACTCTTGTTAAACTAATCAGTTTTCACTGAATGAAAACAATCACGTAAATAAAGAAAACCATATGTTTTATTCTACAAACAATCATGAAGGTTGTGTGTATTTCCGTGAAACAATCTTCAATTTATTGAAATGATTAACATCAACGAAACCGTTTTAATCAAATGAAAAATCAAAATAACAGAGTCAGCATGATGAAAACAACAAATAAGAAGGCGTTTGTGAGAATCATGGCATACGTTTCTTCTTTCTGTAAAACCATAAACCTATGACACATCCAATGCATACGACAATGAAAGTGACAACTATTGCTACGATTACATACGAGTAATTGCGAGACTTTCTTTCCTCTTCGTTTTCATTCGTTTCTGTGGTCACATTCTGAAAAAGCAAAACAGTGCAATAATTACTCAACATCAAATATTTACCAAATGAGTTTCAGTGTTTTCGGTAATCCGCCTCAATTCACTTCCTAAGTCAGATTAATTTATTGTTGGAGTTGTTTCTTTTGTTTCGATTAGTGTTGTTTCACTGGAAACGCTGATAATCGCGCAATTCTGAAGGATGAAATAGTGGCTGTATAACCAAATATTAAGTATTTCATCATTCAATATACAGTATTTTCAGTATTGTTGACACAAGTGAATTCAACTAATAGTTGCATAATTTACCTTTGTACAGTGTGATCAATGAGTAATGATCTAAGATATCTGCTACCGATTTAAAAGTCAATGTGATAAGTACACATTATCCTACAAACAACAGACGACTAATATTTGTGTGGTGAATTTTGTTTCCTGGATGTCATGTCTTATCACAATCTCAATATCAATCAACAGATTTAAAACTGTTGGTTTTATTGATGTAGTTCATACAGGGTACACATTTCTCAACAATGACCCAGAAATACTTATTCTGAACTTGAAATATGATAGTTTTGGGAACTTCCATGAATCGCTCAATCATGCTACACAATTTTCAACAGATTACGCTCTATCATTCAAACTATTTTCATCGGTATGTTTCAACAGTGTCCGTAGATTTACGGTTTCATATTGGATATCGAAAATCTGTTCACATTTTGAGCTAAAAAGTTGACATATTTTCAGGCATTAGTGTTAAGTAATGCAATAAAATGTTCTTCCGAGTAAATAGATTCACAAATATGCTGATACTGAATACAACCTGTTAAGTCTACCGATTACTTACTTTATTCCGGCAACCATTGACTTTAAAGTTGTGAGTATTCTTATCATTACTGGTGATGCACATGTTGGCATGTTCACACCAAATACACGTTGTGTTCGATGTTTTTGCGTCTTCACATGCTTTACTGGAATTGTGGTTTGGACAATCTTCGGTGAAAACAATAAGGTGACTGCATTTCAAGTTATGAAAGAAGACATGTAAATATATATCTCAATGATTTGATGGTAATTTAGCAGTTGAGTGACTACTTCATTCGCTGTGAATTTGTCATCATATTGTGCAATGCGAAATTCAGTACACTTTCAATGTCATTCTTATTTCCCGACATCATGTTGATGTTGAACAAAATTACGTTCAATAAACAACGATGAGTTTCGACGAGCGAATTTCGTGGATTTCATTGACTATCAACTTTCAGGAATGTACATACTGTGCTGTCAATGCGGCCAGCAAAGCGTATTGCACTTGATGTTTGTCGAATTTCATTCCATGATGTCAGTCTTATGACTGAAGGATGGATTGTATACCCCTCTTGCATATGAAGAGAGGAGCATTATGCTGTAAACTCACTCACACTGACTACTTGGAAATCGGTGCAAGAAAGTCAGTTGTTCGAAGACAGAAAATACATTTTCAATAATGTGAATTCAGTCGAATAAAAAAGGGGAAAATAATATTGTTTTTCAATTCATCGTTGACGTTGTTCATGAACAGATTTCAGTCAGTCCACTGTGGTGGAAAGTTTCAAACTATATGGTCATACTATATATTCTATGTGCTTTCAGATCGCACGTCGGTCTAGTTGGATCATGAAAATGCATCGATAATAGATAATATTTTATTCAACGAATATTGACGTCGATCTGAACAACAGATTATGGAATGATTCTTTCAGTTGTCGAAATGTCATTTAAATAGTCTAACACATGATGAGCTGAACAACGTTTATGGTTATTCACTTAAGTATTCACGAGAAAGAAAACGTATCCATTCCATGAAAATCGTCAGTATTTTTGATACTGTATTAATATCTCCTGCCAATGATAAGTTAAAATCCGACAAGTAACTTGTATATACCTTCAATTTACCGGTCGAATAGGATAAAGTAAAGATTTTGGAAATTGTGCTATTGCATTCAACATATTTAACATTTCATAGTGTTTCCGAGTTTTCAACACCTCGTGGAGATTCACTTTCATATGTTCTAAATGAAAAAGAAATGACACTGACAAGTCAATGCCAAATCAACTAACTGTCTTTTATCATCTGATCCATCGTTTTGTGGCATTTTGTTTACGTGAATTTCATCAAAGTGATGACTTTTTATCGTGGTTCAAAATTTCTCTGTAATCATTGTAAACATACAACAGTGAATAGACGTGTGATGTGACGAGAGTTGAGACTGATGGTTAAATATAATTTAATGACTGACTGAAATTATACATGAAATTTTCAATTTTATGAAATAAAATTGTGCAATTAAGTGTGAGAATAGTCAACTCTGATAAAGTGAAGTTTAACTTACCCCCAGAAATTTCATACTCTACCAAAGTCCCAGTTTTGATCCACTTTCTACGAACAGTAATGTCAGGGACATTTTGAGTTTTTTCAACTAAAGAAAACGACACTTAAAATATTGATTTTCATATTGTAAATAACACGTTGTTCGCTCGTTTAAGGAGCGATCAAAACAGGAAACAGTTTAATATCTTATCATGGATACAATGATATTCAAACGAAATCCTCGCGAATTATGCTTTAAGTCACTTTTGGTTTCGAAAGTGGCCATTGTTTAACCGGTAAATGAAAAATGATGTCGTTAAGTTTCTGATTTGTGTTTTAATGTTGTCAGTGCAACATCTTTAAAAAAGTATGTTTAACTCGATAGAAACATTTTCACAAATTATCAACATTGAGGTTTACTGTGAAACGACTCAGCAACGCATTGCAACAGATCATCAGGTACCTCTTGACCAAATGCTTAATGAATTTTCTCACACTCAATCATTAAAAACTGCATCCAATCGAATCACTCACACTAAACGCTTGCCTTGAAACTCACCTTCATTTTTCGACAACATACAACAATTTCAGCATAGCGTGAAGTTTCAGCATAGTGTTAAACAACTATGAGTCCTTTTTGACAAAATATGCTTCCTTATGTATTGAGTAATATAAGAATAAGGACTACAGGTTTGACTAATTGAACAGTGAGTGAGTGAATAAAATAATGGCAGTATCATATACCTAATTTGGTCGTTCAGATATTCCTGACTGGATCAGTCAATCGGCAAACATATGCGGAATATTCCTGAAATATCCAAAGACACTTTATCTCATGTGACATGACAAGTGATGACATACAGAAAATAAGTTACAAAAAGAAAGTACCATTGGTCTGACAGACGGTTGTTCATGAATTTTAGTGTGAATGAGAATATAAATGATATTTGTTACCTCCTACTCCACACGGGATTTCAATGTAAATTTCCGATTCCAAATCATTTTCCTCGATTTCCTCAGAAACCTGAAAAGATGTAATGGATGTCTGAGTCAAGATCTGTCAACACACACAAATTATAAAGTCACAGTAAGCATTCTGATCGCCTCAGTTTCCTTAGAACTATGTTCCATCCAGTCTACAAACATATTCTGACTCACCTCAGTTGTCAACTTCAGAGAAGTTAGATGAACGATATGTCAATGAGGCGATATATTGTGAGATGAATATCCACGTCGGTTGACAAAAATGTGATTGTGAATAACTGCGATGTTGATGCACGTGACTTTGTTGTCATGTGGTTTGATTGTTTTGATGTGCTCACTTCCATCCATTAGCGTTCATTTCGCTGGTGAATGCTTTCCATAATGTGTTCTGGTTACTTCGAAACAATCAAAACTGATTCAGTTCAACACATATGACACCTTTCGTCTTACAGGCTTATCCTGGCTGCCTGTATTTCGAATGTGTGAATTAATAAAGCCTGACATTAGGACAGTTACACACTAAGAAACAATCAATATTTGAACAATTCATCACTAAGATTATTCAAGAGTGAACATTTCAAACATCTGATCTTCAGAAGACGTAACAAAGCTTGACAATTTATAATTGTTCCTTTGCAGTGTGGTGTGGGCTACTTATATCTATATAAAAAGTATATGACGTCAGGCAGGAACAGAATGTCTGGCGGCAGAGAAACAAGAAGATCGAACAATAAAGATTGAAAACAGAATGTAATTTCTATGAAACTGCAAGAACAATGAAGTCTGAGTCATTTTAAGACAATTGATGGACATTTTGCAAAATAAGCATCTACTATATAATTGTTAGTTTTTATTAACATGTTCTGTAATTTCCCATCAAATATATTCGATTGTTTTTGTTCATTACAGTAGTACCCTAACCTACACTGTTTGTACTTGGTCGGCTCGAAGACATCAGAATTTCTTCAATTAACTCCTTATCATTTACTCTTTAATAAAAGTGCTCGAATAAAGTGTGTCACAACAGGGGTGTTACTAGTTTCATACCGTCTGTATGCACATTAACAAATGTTGATCTCGGTCTGTGATGTTCAATGTATCTTGATGTATTCGACTGTATTGAATTGCATTAAATAGTGGAATAATCTGTAACTGTAACATTCAATTGTGCGACTTACGTTCTCATAATACAGTGATATCTTCCCGCTTGGATGTATGAGATTTAACACCTGCAATGTAACATCTGCAAAAAGAAGACTGTCATTATTTAAAATTTCAAGAGTTTATGATGAGCACGTTATTATCAGATCTGACACTGTATGTGTCTACCCACACAGTGATCAGATTTAGGCAGATATTTACTGTGTTATCTCAAAAGATTTCTTCGGCTGAATTCGAAGTAAATATATACTGCTGAACTTCATGCAACTCCGCCTGTAGCTCTCCTACAATTACTTACGCTCCCAAGCCCGGGTAAAGAAGGATCGTTGAGCATGAGGTCGACAATTGCATACGGTAGAAAAATATCTTGTTAAAAACGAAAACCAGATTAAACAAAGTTATCAATTTAAAATCTGCCGTAAGAGCTGAAGGAAGAATCAGGACGCCTCAGAATGAAAACCAAGATGAATCGGAAGTCACGAGACCGATGTCCACTGTAACAACCAGAGCAGCATTTAATATAGTTGCATATAATGTTCGGACAATGTAAGATATAGGGAGGGCTAATCAAGTAGAAACACCTTAACGGTGCTTCGAATGAGTGAAACCTATTGAACGAAATCTAGTCACGAACAGGAAAATGCTCAACACACTCAGGCAGTTGCTCTAACGCTGTTCAAAGTAGCACGAAACGCACTTGAAGGATGGGTATCTCACGGATAGCAATGACGACATTGAAGATCAATTCTACGATAAAGTGCAGTCAATCACAGCGAAGTGCTCAAGAAACAACCTCACCATTCTGATGGGAGATCTAAACGCAAAAGTCGGAATAGACAACACTTGATATGAAGATATCATGAGAGAATATGTATTGACTGGGAGAGAGAAACGAAAATGGGTGGAGATCTGCAAATCTGTGTGCATTCAACAACCCGGTCATGAGTGGCAACAAAATTTCCACACACGTGTATACACAAAGCTACATGGATGTCACCGCATCACACTTATTTATTTATTTATTTATTTTAACACATAAATATTGGTACAAGAGAGCGCCAATATATATGCGCCACACAAAACAATGTAACTTCGAAGAGATAGAAAAAGAAAAAAAAAACCAAGGAGCACAAAAGAGAACGATAACGAAGAGATTTAGTGTGGTCGTAACAATGGAACGGAAAAGTACAATCAGAAGAAATCTTTCAAGTAAGGGAGACACAACCACTTTTTATGAAGAAAGTAAAAGAAGGTGACAGCAGGATCGCCACTGGCTTCTATTCTGAGCCATATCTGATAACGTCTCTAGCCACTGTGTAGCACCATCTCTCAGACCCCAACCAGGGAGTCGTGAAGGACCAACACAAGCCAGTCCTTTGCAGCTTTCTTTCATACCACGACACCATTTCATGCACTGACCACCTCTCCGCTTTTTCCAACCAGTCCCAGAGTCGGCAAATAATGCACGACGTGGAATTCTCTGGGACACTAAAGAGTACCAGATAAATCATATTTGCATCAACAAAAAATCCCAAAGACGATGGAAGAAGTAAGAAGCAGGAGAGCAGCTGACAGAGCTTGAGATCACCACACAACCTAGTTGTGTTCAATTTGAAGCTGAAGCTAAAGAAGAACTGAATAACTGGACAAGAAGCACTAAAGAGGTATGATACAGCCTTCCTTCCAGTTATTAACAAATTCAACAAATTCAAGCTAGCTCTCAACAACAGGTTCCAAGCCTTATAGGATTTACTGAGGGAAGAAGAAACTACTATGGAGGACAACTGGAAAGGTATCAAAGACGCACTGACAGATGCATTCCAAGTGTGTTATAGTGACAGACAATGCTGTTTACTCTCCCCCATCCTCATTCTTAGTGCTGGTCGACTGAACTATGAAGACCTCAACATTTGCGTGAATAAATGGCATGCAATGCACAGCTCAGAATAAATTAGGCAATTTGGACTACGCAGATGACCTGACCCTCGTATCCAGTACACATGAACAAATGCAGACAAAGACAGCCAGTGAAGCAGCAGTCTCTGCATCAGTAGGCTTCAGCATACAAAAAGGGAAAACCAAGGTCCACAAATTCAGAGCGGAGAACATCAATTCAATCACTCTTGATTGCTAAGCTCCGGAAGATGTAGAATCCTTCACATAACTGGGAAGCAACATCGATGAACAAGGAGGTTCAGATGCAGACGTAAAGACGAGGATTGGCAGAGCAAGGAGAGCATTCCTACATGATTTGAAATTACGGAACTCTAAACAGCTTTCAACCAATATCGAGATGAGGATCTTCTATACCAACGTCAAGGCAGTTCTACAGTACGGAGCTGATACTCTGTGAGCTATTACAGCTATCATGAAGAAGGTCCAAGTAATCATAAATAGTTGTCTACACAGGATACTTAACATCCATTGGCCGGATATCTTCAGCAACATTCTTCTGTGGGAGGGAACAAACCAGCTTCCAGCTGAATAGGAAATTAGGAAACGACGATGGAAATGGATAGGACATAGATCACGCAAATCATCAAACTACATCATGAGGCAAGCCCTAACTTGAAATTCTGAAGGGAAGCGGAAAAGAGGAAGTCCGAAGAACATATTACGTTGTAAAATATAGGCACATATGAAAAGGATGAATAACAACTGGAAAGATGTGGAAAGGATTGACCAGGACAGGCTTGAACGTAGAGTGATTTGAGCGACCTGTGCTTTCCACGAGGAGTAACAGGTGTAGGTAAGTAAGTAAGTTAGAACATTATGCAAATGAAACAAGAATAAACCCTTCAAAATGAATGTCAGATACTTAGTTGTTGAGGTTATGCTACACTCTTATTTTCATATTGAAACAATAAATCTTCAAGCTTCTAATGAGATCTGATACTTGTGGATATATAATCGCATTGGCGCAATATTATCTATAATTACTCATGAAACAATCGACTTTAAGTACACATGACGTGAGCCGTGGAATGATTGTTTATAAAGAGAACTTGGCAATTTAATTGTTTGTGCAACACATTGGTAAATCAGTCAATCAGATGACTCTGATAACAATATTGTTAAAAATGAGAAGTGAATAGCCTAGTATATATTGTCTTTTCAATCTCAGAATGTGAATGAATAATGTGTAAGAATGACTGTGAAGTGATTGAATGTTAAAATGAGTGTGATGTTCACAGAAATCGCTTTCCGATGCACACAGATGTACCTATTTTTATAAACAGATTTCTCATCATGTTTCTTTATAGCCTGTACTCGTCTGTTCACAGGTGGAATGAGTATGTGACTTGATTTATCCACAATGATCTATTTATTACTCGTCAAATCTAGTATGTTCGTGCTTATTTCAACTGTTCTGTATGTCTCAATCAATGTGTTTAAACAATCTGTGGATTCCACTTAGAGTTCCCGCCTAATTTTTCAGAGTGTTTACGTTTTAATAATTCAGTCAATTTTTCAAAAGAATTCAGTTATGCCGTGCTAAATAGAAAACGTGAGAGTAATTACAAGGAATCATGGTGTAAGTGTTAATATGTCACATGTGTTCAAACAATCATTTAATGGATACATACTTTTACCATCAACCTGTCGGTGTAAAATCATTCGGACAGCTAATAAATCATCTGAAATAATGAAAGGAAAAATAATTTGTGTTTATATATCTGCATTCTGATTATCCGCACCTTTTCAACAAACATAAATTTCAACACAGAATGAATTTGGACACCAGTTATCATCTTCTTTTCAACATTTATATAAACCAGTTCAAGTAAATGAGAGTTTGATGGATCCTTATCATTATTATTGTTATTTCAATGACGAGATGAACATTTCAATACCAGCAACTGAGAAGAATATTTTACTTCTGAAACGTTGGTTCTAAAGGTTTTTGGTTAACTAAGATACCGTTAATATTCTACCGACAATGCACATGCAAAATTATTTTCAGAGATCCTGTTATTCCAATCAATCAGTGTTTTGTATATTTACTTAGCTATTATGCAGAAATGCTACTCCAATGTCATTAATCCTGATAACTGAGCGAGTGAATTAACTTCATTTTTATGTTCTATGTGTTCTGGTTCGAATCAACTATGTTGTACTAGCAGGTTGTCAATGGTTGTTCGTTGATTAAATGTTTAAGAAAGCGCGTGAATCCGAACTTCATGATCATAGGAATATGATAATCAAGAAAATGTGACGAGAGACACTAAACTATTAAGAACTAAGTAAGTTACTGAAAAGATTTAGAGGACATCGCACATAACATGGCAGTTCAATGATGCAAACTGATTTCCCACACAACAATGCTCATTGTTGTAGCTGTAGTTAGACACAATTCATTGAATCTACCACGAAGTGTAACAGTGGTGAAATGTTTGTATTATGGTAGTTTGAACAGACATTAGAGCAGTTAGTTTTCACTTGAGTCACTGTATCATTCGATTTTTTGTTTCTGCTCAATCAATTTGTGCCTGTTTTGAAAGTAAATCGCTGTTTTATTTAACGTTTTCATTGGACAGTCATACGTGCTGTGAACACATTTTAGGCTACCGAATCACAGAAACAAAACGATTACTGTGTACTGCTGAGCTTTCATGAAATAACCAAGTTAAGTAATGAATCGTTTACGCAAAATAAAAAGTGAGAAATAAAAAACAAGACAAAATATCACTGAATAATATAACAACTCACTCTCATTCGATATCTCATATTCAGACATCGTACCATTTTCTAAGAAAATGTAAATTATTCCTACTATCTGTTCTGCATTCATTTGTATCAAGCCCGTGTTTCCTGAATAAAAATATGTAATTTGATTGACAATCTGCAGTGAATGAAGAAAACACTTAGAAATAAACTGGAAACTAAAATGAATTGCATGAACCGTAATTAGTTTGCTGTAAGGCGTCAAACTATTGACAAGCTGAACAAAATATCATATCAGTAGTAGATTTGAATGTTAGAAAAAGCATAAAACTGATTTACCGAAGGAAATTAAAACAACTTTGATTCATGGAATGAAGTGTGAATAAGCAGAACTCAATAACAAATTTTGTTCGAAGAAAATTATTCTCTTACCGTAATCGCCCATCTTCAGTGCACTGAAGTCTGTGCCGTAGTATTTAAACGGGAATTTCAAAGTGATTTCCTGAAAATATACAAACATATGAAATTATACCACCATTGCAAACTGAGGTCAACTTACCTCACCTTTAGCCAATTTTACAAAGATGTCATTTACAACTGGAGAAAGCTGATTACGGCGTATCGTCTGGAAGTAGTAATAATTGTGAGACTGAATATGTGTATTAGAACCCGACCGATTACTTACGTATTCATGTGAGTCGTCTTCAAAAATTAATTTGCTATAATTCGCTAGTCCAGGGTTCTCACAAATTTCATGACAATCAAAACATTTTGAAATTATTACGATGACCAAACAGATCAGTATAAACTGGCCAGATGAAAAGGTATATCTGAAATAGTTCAGATGAACAAAACAACGCTATCTCATTAGATCACATTGAAATTCATATAACACGCTTATTCGTCTCAACTGTACAGTGAACACTCACCTCATCATATTGCCCAAAACGATAATAATTGCTGTTAGATTTTGTTGAGTTTATATAGATTTTTAAGTGTTAGTTTGTTTCTTTCTGATTGGATGATTCAAAGTGTGATCAGTTAGACGATCAAAATTCATAAAATCATACGATTATTGTTAACCAATCATCATGTTGGTAGATGAAAACATCGTTATGCAATATTCTTCTAGCTAGCTATTGACACATTTAAGCTGACACTTTTCCACTGTTGGTTGAAATTCTTCCCCCCCCTTTTGATGATAACTATTTTCGGATATCACTAGTATTACTTTACTCCACTAAGTGATTAGTGAACTTGTAGTTCAAAATGTGTGCTCATAGTTTCATGAACAAACATTTTGTTGCTTTTGAATAATCATCTATGAACTAATTGTCAATGATGCATCAATGTCATGTGTGTCAAGTCCTTATCATTGGTGCAGATCAAATGCTATCGACCATGATGCCATGTGGCCACCAGTCGATTGTCGACTACCTCCAACAACCATCTGACTAATTCATTATATTTAGCATAGAATAAATATATTTAGAAACATATATATATATATATATATATATATATATATATATATATATATATGTTTCTAAATATATTTATTCTATGCTAAATATAATGAATTAGTCAGATGGTTGTTGGAGGTAGTCGACAATCGACTGGTGGCCACATGGCATCATGGTCGATAGCATTTGATCTGCACCAATGATAAGGACTTGACACACATGACATTGATCACCACCCAGTAATCAATCAATTATAATAATAAATTAATTATTGATGAACGAATAACCGTCTACAATTTCGTAAATCAATAGTAATTTCAGTGAAAGAAACCAAAACTATTGATGTTTTGAATAAATTCGCAAAGAGTAATTCTTCGTATTGTGAAGGTGAATTATGCACTTCAAAATGTTGTCGACAATCAATAATATTTTAAATTGTCGTGTATTACAGTATGTAGTTGAATAAACGGTTCATCAGTATTAGAATTATCTTCATCTGTACATGAAAATGTACCACTAATATGTGGTCTCTTATCACATGATTATTCATTTTTCTTCTTCTTCTTCTTCTTCTTCTTAGTGTAAGTAGTACTAGGATTATGTAATCATATAAATTATTCACTAGGGCATGGTAAGAATTCACCTGAGTGTTAGATCAGTTATTGATGTCCATGGAAATACTGTGGATTGGAATAGTGAACTGAGAATTCTGTCCGATTTAAGAGATTGAATATAACATAACACATAGTTCTATCATTTCTGTTTCTTCCTGCACAATTTTCAAAGTAAAATTTATGATTTCTTATTCTCAGTGTAAATTATTTGAGCGTTTAATTTATGAGCATATTTCTGTTGAACTCAAGTGTCCACACAAACATCATAGATTAAACTTTGTGGTTGTCTATCACTTCATTTTATCTCTCTAATCAAGCGATATGGTATTCTCTTTACTCTATGCTGTATAGTGGGCGTAATATGAATCTTAATTAGAATGCAACTTATCGCATTCCAATGATGTGCTTATGTGACTGACCTTCACCTACATACATTCATGGAACTAAAATGAGTGAATTTCTCATTTTACAAAACATTGATACTTTTCTAAATATAAAATGAAGTGAAAACAGATCATTTGGCTGTCAATTCATAGAAAATCTTGGTACAAATATGAATGAACACTATGACCGTTTGCTATCGAATTTCAAGTGAGTATAGTGGTCGTTTACTCATAGAATCATTTGGTTTTCACGTTCTTTAAAATTAACAGAATGAAATATTAAGAGTACAGACTGAAATCAAAGTAGTGAATAACTATGGTATGAAAGTAAATAATTTGGTCAGTTCAATGGGGGTCTGATATGTCTGATATGTCCTGTGTTCGAATCTGGTGAGGTGAGATACTGAGTGCGCATTGTTGAGGAATATATATATATATATATATAAGAATATTTTTTGTTACAGTACTAATTCCATGAGGAATTGTGACCTGTTCCTATTCCATAGTTGATGACTAAGTATTTTGATTGTTCTGTGTTTCTATAACAACACAGTATTCAAAATTCAATAATAATGATGTTGTTCATTCCAGTCATTCTTTCTATTCCTTATTGCTAGATAAAGTCACAAAGTCATCTACATACACTTAACTTATAATCTGTAACTAAGATAACAGATCTGGATCCGATTGGAATCAAGTAAATGATCGAGGTTCTTTGTAATATTTAAGGAATACGCTGAAAAAAATGAGCGTTTGTGAGTGAGCCTGATATGTCGTATGTTCGAATCTCGAGGAGTGAGATCCTGGGTGCGCACAGGGGAGGAGTCTCACAATAGAACATATGTATATATATGAAAGTAATAATTCCATGAGGAAATGTAAATAAAGAATAACAAATATGATTTAATAGAAAAACTATATTGCTAGATTACGTAATACGAATAATAATAATAATAATAATAATAATAATAATAATAATAATAATATCAATAGACTTAATAAGTTAGTAACGAATTTTATCGTCAATGTAATAAGATGATTAAAGTGCTTTTGTTACTTTTGTTAATTAAAAGTCATATAGGTGTAAGGAATAAGTAAAGTGATATCATGAACACTTATGAATAAGACAATGAATATGTGACACATCAGTAAAGAGGGAAGTGTAGTAATAATAATTATCACCATACGTTCATTGAAATCGCACGTATTTCGAATGACCATTAATTCGGCTATGAATCACTTATTAATACTCAGTAATAGATTAGGATTCGAAATTCTGTTTTTGTCTTCTTATCAGCCATAGAATTTCTTAACATAGATATGGAATGATCCATTAAATCGGTGTAAGCATATGTTGATACTTAAGAGTTAATTTGAATCAGAACGATTGCCCATTACTTTTAACCCATTTCTCTATGCTAACTGATAGGTCTGCAATATTGATAGTCAATAATATATATTCCTTGATGAAATTAATTTCTACAGTGCGATTCGATACTCCGAGAAAACACAATGAAATTAGAATGATTTGTGCATTGTTGTTCTCTCTACTGAACAGTAACTAACTGTTATCCAGTTTCTCAAATGTACGGAACGCTTTTCATCTGGTTTATTTTTTATCTGCTGAAATAACTATCTAAATAAGACAATACACCATATTTACTTTCTTGTGATGAACAACATTTCTCAAACAATTGTGTCCTTTTCATGTTAATAAAGCCTATCTACATTAACATTCATATGATGTAAGAATAATGCAATTGAGAAATATAAATATTAACTGGAAATGTGTACTTGGTGTCATGAACTAGTGTAGAAACATAATTTACCGTAAATCAACTACTTAAAATCGAAACATAGCTCAAGTCATTTAGATCGATGTCTGCATTGTTGTTGAGGCCTATTGATGCAGAGACTGCTGCTTCACTGGGTGTCTTTATCTGCATTTGTTCATGTGTACTGGATACGAGGGTCAGGTCATCTGCGAAGTCCAAATCGTCTAATTGATTCTGAGCTGTTCATTGTATTCCGCGTTTTTCCTCAGATGTCGAGGTCTTCATAACCCAGTCGACCACCAGAAGAAAGAGGAAAGGGGAGAGTAAACAGCCTTGTCCAACTCCAGTCCTCCGTGAACGACCTTGCACTGTAGTCCGGCATATGAGTTTCGGATAATGTTGACAATCTTGTCAGGAACTTAGGTGTGTCGAAGAAGTTTCCACAACGTCCATCTATCAACCCTATCAAATGCCTTTTCATAATCAATGAAGTTGATGCATAGTGGTGAGTTCCACTCAACTGATTGTTCGACGATGATCCGTAGTGTTGCAATTTGGTCTGTGCAAGACCGATCCATACGGAATCCAGCTTGTTGATCTCGAAGTTGGGCGTCTACTGCATCTTTCATCCGGCTCAGCAACACTCTATGGAAGACCTTTCTTGGTATTGACAGTAGTGTAATGCCTCTGTAGTTTTCACATTTGCTCAGGCCCCGTTTTTGTTTGGAATCTTGATGAGGTGTCCTACTTTCCAGTTCATCGGCACTCGTTGCTCCCCTCAAATCTTTTTGAATTGAAGATGAAGCATGATTTTAGTTATTTCGATTTCTAACGTCAGTGCTTCAGCTGGTTCATTCTCGGGTCCTGCTGATATCTCGCTCTTGGTTTGACTGATAGCCATTTTGGTTTCTTCGATCGTTGGTGGAGTGACATATATAGGAAGATCTGTGTGCGCTGCCTCGATGTCCGGCAGATTCATTAAACCGGCCTATTCATGAGTTCCTCGAAGTATTCAATCCATCTGTTCCGTTGTTGTTGAATTTCAGTGATTGATTTGCCTTCTTTGTCCTTGCCCGGTCTCTGTGGTTTACTATATATTTACCTGCTATCTTCTTCGTCGTATCACAAAGTTGTTTCATATTTCCTTCACTTGCAGCTTTTTCCGCTGTCGTTGCTAGTTCTTCCACGTGTTTCTTCTTGTTGGCTGTAATGCTCCTCTTAACTTGCTTGTTTGCTTCTCTGTATTCAGCTTGTGCTTGGACTTTCTCTGTTCGTGTTCGGCTGTTGTTTATTGCTGCATTCTTGTTATTCCTTTATTTGATCTTGTCCAGTGTTTTATAGAGATCCATTCCTTATGATGGTGTTTCTTTAGGCCCAGAACCTCTTGACACGTTGAAGTTAATGCTTCTTTGATATTTTCTGTTTTTCCTCCATAGTAGTTTCTTTTTCCCTCAGTAAATTCTGTAAGGCTTGGAACCTTTTGTTGAGATCTATCTTGAATTCGTTGATTTTGTTAGTATCTTGAGGGAAGGCTGTATTGTACCCTTGTAGTGCTGTTTGTCCAGTTGTTCAGTTCTTCTTTAGCTTCAGTTTTAAATTGGCCTCAACTAGGTGGTGTGGTGACGTGAAGCTATGTCAGCTCCTCTCCTGCTTCTCACATCTGCCATTGTCCTTCGGAATTTTTCACTGATGCAAATATGATCTATC